TGTGATCTGAACCAAGTCACTTAGCTTTCTGAGCCTTTACTGACTGAGCTTTAAAACTGGAGAGATACCCACCCCTGTGTCATTTGGTTCTTTGAACAATAAAGGACACAGAGCATGCACATTTCCTAGCAGAGGACCTAGGACCTGGATGATACACCCCCCCTTCTCCCTAAGGATGGAAGAGATGGATGGTCACATCCAAGGTTCTAGGATTGGTCCTGAGCTTTGTTGAACCTCAGTGCTCTCTCTGTAAAGTGGGGACAAAAAACTCACATAGAGAGTTACCAAGAAAACTGTAGGAAACAATATGTGTAGCTTCTGGTAAGAGCTTAATAAATCCTGTTTCCTCCCAGTGTTTGACACGTGCTAGATTTTCAGTAAGTATTTGCTAAACTTAATTGAATCACTCTGTTAATTGTAATTTAGGCATTTTCTTCCCCCCTCTCAAATGGCTTCAATATTTTGGTCAATTGGAGTTTAATGGTCAATTGTGTTTATGACCCAATTACTTAAAATCCTTAACATTACAACCCAAACCACCCAAGGACGGAAGTAATTTAACCGACCAACCACTTTTTCTGAGCTTTGCTTAAAATCTGAAGTATTACGATGATCAAAACTACATTTATGCACCCGTTTCTCAACGCTTTCAGACATTCAAAATTGGCTGAACTCAACAATCATTTGTCTGCTTTTCTCCTTTTTGCATTATTTCCATTTCTGCTACATTGTCCTCTTCATATTTAAAGATGAAAAAAAGTCCTGCTTTTCATTCATCTTTGTCTTCTGTGTAATGGGTCGTTCCCTCCTTGTAGCAATCTTTTTTTTCGGTTCTACAGTTATGTAAACCAGAACTACTTTTAAACATGCAGGGTTCATTTTATTTCCATTCATTTCCATTTTAGATCACTAGGAAACAGGAAAACTATGCTATCAATCAATTGTCTCATGGTGGTGAGACTGCCATGTGGTGTTACTGTCTCAGAAATTACCAGGAACTTGGGAAACAGTGACAAAAAGATATCACAGGATAAGCCAGGGGAGAGAGACACAATCTCCACCTTGCCTTCATGACATAATCCAGTGGGTCTCAACAGGCATGGTGCGGCCTCATAGGGAATATTTTGGAAAGATGGGGGGACATTTCCTTTGGTTGTCACGTGAATGGGGTGGGGCACAACAATGATTTGGAAAATGAGATCCAGGGATACCAGACATCTCTGTCTCAAAGAACAAAGGATGCTCCTGTGTCTAAATGACTTTGAAATGTTTCCGTGGATGTCTGTGTAGGTGACAAATGTGTTCATAATCTGATGAGCCCAGATTCTAACTGCTCTTCACATACCAATCTAAAACATCTTTTCCACAGTTTTAAAA